AGCACCGGGAGCCGGTTTTTCGGTGAAAAGCACCGAGAGCCGGTTTGGGTATCCCCCAAAATCCCCCCCCCCCCTTTTCTCCTTCCCGCTCTCCGAGCCCGCTCCGGTTCGGTGCCGAAGTTTCGCGCCCTTCGTTTGCAGGAAAAAGGCCTGGGATCTCCTTATGGCAAAGGGATGAAGCGGTGGGATGAAGTTGGGATGCGAGCGATGGGTTAGCCCCGCACGCTTTCCGGCCTTTTCGGGATTCAGCCGCCTAACTTCCCTTTCTCGCCCCGCAGCAGTGGGATGATGCAGCGGCGGGAGCATCCCGGGTTCGGGCTCGCAGCGGAGCGGGCAGCCGCCGTCCCGTTTGCCGGACGAGGTGCTGGGTACGGGACGGGAGCAGCAGCGGGACGGGGCTGAGCGCACGGCGAAGCCTCGCGCGCCGTTTCTGAGGATGCCGGTGTTGCGGGCAGCGCGCGTTGCGTTTTTAGGGGGAAACATCTCCTTCATGTAGGGAACTTCAAAAGTAGCAGCTTGTGAGTCAAACTGGAAGCAGGCGAGACTGACTCACCACCTATATGGATGCGGGAGGAAAGGAGCAGGGGGGATCAGACATCTGGCACGGAGAGCACGGGGCAGGGGTCCTTCCCAGCAATGCCCACCAAAGCAGGATAGAGCTAAAGCGATGGACGCTTTAGGGTTTCCCATGAATTTCCCCGAAATCAGTAAAAAAGAGGACAAAACCGACAGCGCTGCGTTTCCCAGCTCGCTGTGCCACAGTCACTGCTACCGCCGCGTCCGAGCGCTGGCCTCAATGCGCTGGGCGCGGATAGATGCTGCCGGGGAGGTTTTGGAGCCTCGCACCGTTCCTCGGGGCTTGTGGCCGAGTGTCTTTTGCCCACAGGTCATAGCAGAGGGCTCAGAGTGGTGACCAGACCCCTCCTCGCCTGCCCTCCCGTGCTGGCCCAGGACCCCACCACAGTTTGCTGGGTTAAAGTGGAACCTGGTGATTCTGGTTCATACCCCTGGAAAAACTACCCAGGTTAAAATGTTGCCACAGCGCCTCACCCATCAGCACAAGCTGCTGCGTTCGATTTGGCAGGAGCCCCTTTCTCTGGGTTTTCTTTTTCTTTTTCTTTTTTTTTTTTTGTCACAGTGGGAGTTGGTAGTGGGACGGTGCAGGCAGCAAGGGCAAAGTTCTGCAAACTTCTGACAAATGAGGCAAATGAACTATTGCTTTCGCTCGGTAACTTCGAGAAAGCTGCCACTGATTTCTTGTGGCAATGCCGGTCCAATGGCCGCTGCCTCCAGCAAGCTGCTGATGCTCTTGCCCTCGCAGGGAGGTTTCGGCACCTTCACCCCTCACAGTCCCATCCTAAAGAAGCTTAAATCCAGGCACTGGGCCATGGGGAGCGATGGGGACTGCGCCTTGCGTATCCTTGGGGAGCCTCGTATGGCCCCATCCTGCAGGAAACTCTCTCCTCCGAGGGGTTCTGCCTTTCGGGGGTACGGGTAAAGGGCGACCACCTCGTCTGGCCTCTATCCCATTACACAAGCTTTTTCTTGAGAATGGGTCACCCTCCCCGAGCTGTAATTCTTCCTGGCAGCGACAGTGCAAGTGGTTATGGGACAACAAAAGAGATTTGTGCCTCCAGGGGAGAAATAAGAATGCAAATATCTTTGGCATGAAAAAACAAAGGCGATTTACTCCTTGGTATTTCTTGTCAGTACTTTGCATCTGTCTCTACTTCACCTTCTCATTCCTTTCCTTTGGGTTTTCCAAGTGCAATAAGGCTTTGGGGAGCAATGGGGGCTTGGAGGGGCCCCGCGGGAGGGACGGGGCTGAGGGCTGGGGGCTGCAGCCTCTCGGGCCCGGGGCTTCGCAGCTCTGCTGTGAAATGCTTTTTCCCCCATGTCGTTCCCCCACTTCGGAGGGATTTCCCCTGCTGCAGCCCGGCCTCGGAGAGGGCTTGGCCATGTCTTGCCGGGACGCTGTGCTCCAGCACATCCAATGCGGGTCCATCCCGTGCCTGGCAGCGGCTTCTCCATCTTCCCGGGGATTTCCGCGCCGCTGTCACCCCGGGTATGCGGCCGGTGTTTGAGGGCTCTATAAACCATAGCGAAGGAGAGCAAGCATCCCGCCAGTGGGCATAAATCAGCCGGGAGCTGGAAAACAGGGCAGGCTGCAAGCAGAAAGGGAGCGTGGGCCCCTGCTTTCTGCTGGCCGGATGGGTCAGGGACTTCCAGTTCATTTATTCTGCTGGGGTTCGCCCAGCCCTGCTCGGCATGTGTAATGTTTTCTCTGAAAGACCTAGCAGTTAGATGGGTGAAAAACAGTCTCCTGTCTCAGGAGCTGGCAGAGATCCTAGTAAATCTGCAGAAGTATGTTTTTGTCGGTGCTGCTTATTCTGTTAGGGGAACTAGTATAAACTATTTCAGTTAGAAAACCTTTTCCTGGAATAAAGTCTTGACTCTGTTCAGAGCATTGTCAGGACAGTCGTACCGGGAACAGAGCTTTGCTAGTAAACATGCCGGGACCGAGAAGGCCTAACGGGGCAGACACAGAGCTGCTGTACCCTCTGCCCTACGGAGAAACCCCTCACAAGGCACCTGCTGCCCTTTGCTGTGCTCAAATAAAAAATAAAATCTGTGCGCGGTTAATTTGCAAACAAAACACAGATTTTTTTTTCCTCCTCCCTGAAAGCCTGGCTGTCCCTGCCGGGATGTGCCACCGTCCATCCCCTCCAGGCTGCGGCTGACCATCCCTCGGTGGGCTCGGGGTCAGCGCCGTGAGCCACGCCGTGGGGGCACGTCCCCATCTTGCATCGCTCGGCAGCCGTGGGGTCAGCACGCAGCTCGAGCGATCGCTTCTGCTTGCCTGCCTCAGTTTCCCTGACCCCGGCTGGCACGAGGGGCGATGCTGGGAGCCCCCGGGGTGGCCCTGGGATAACAGCGGGTGCCCGCTTCGGTTTGAATTTCTCATCCCCCGCTGCGTCCTTATCTCCCTGCTCCTCGCAGCTGGGATGGGGATGCCTGCTGGGATGGGGATGCCTGCTGGGGCTTTCGGCAGGAGAGCGGGGCTGCTGGAAATCAGAGCTGCGATGCCCCGGGTGGGGTGCGAGCCCCGGGTGCTGGCAGGGGACGGCTCGGTGCAGCCGGCCCAGCTGGGTGTGCTTCAAAGGGCGGCAGGTTTTTCTGGGCTCCGGCTGCTGCTTTGCTCTCCAGGCAGGCGTGAAAATGTGAAAGAATGTGAAAAATGTGAAAATGATCGTGCTGGCCCCAAGATTTGTAAACTTCTGGTTAATGTGTAATAAATACATGACAGATACTCCCAGCGCTGGGCGGGTGACCGCGGCGGCTCAGTGGTGGTACAGCCGGTGGTGGCATCCCCAAACCGAGGAGGCATCTCCCCTCTCCTGCCCTGGGGCCAGCCCCAGGGTGTCCTGAGCAGCACTGGTTGGAGAGGCTTTGGGGCTTTTCTAAACTGGTTTATCTGGTTTTGACTTCTCCCTTGTCTTTCCATGAACCGCCTTGTCTGGCTTGCAAAAATGCACTTTATTTGTTTAATTCTTCCCTGGTATGAGGTGCGTGCTGTGAAACCCAAGTTCATAGCATCCCGTCGGAGCGATGCCAGCGCTCGCAGCCCAGCACCGTGTGGCGAGGAGCGCGGTGCCAGTGCCGGTTATCTGGAGGCCTTGGTTCTTGGGTGTGATTCTGCCCAGGTAGCTCATCGAGCCGTAACCACCGGTGCAGTTTTTCCTGCTTGGCACAAAGTGAGGTGCCGCAACAACCATGTTCCCACCCTAGTCAGCCTGGGGGAATCTCTGCTGAGTCACTTTTTTTTTTTGCAAAAATAGCTAAAAGATGGTTCCTTCAGCTCTGCATGGGTCTGGTTGTAGCAATGCCATAAGGGAACAGAGATGCTGCTGACGAACTGGGGTTCGTCCCAGGGAGGCTCCCCACAACCGCCCTGGCACTGCCGGAGGACGTGCGCGGCGTGCCGCCGGGGCAGAGCCAGCACAGCCTGGGCTCACCCAGGAGTTTGAGATAAGACAGGTCGGAGAGGCTCCTCTGCCAAGGAGCTCGGAGGAGAGCGCGCTGGAGTTGATGCCAAGGGACGGCCTCGTGCTCTGCCGGGGTTTGGATGTGCTGTGGATGAGGACAGTTCTGCAGGAGCTTGGCACAAGCCGCGCCGGCGCATCCCACTTTCCACGGGCATGTTCCACCTCTCTTTCAAGTGGCCTCTGAGCATCAGAGATCAAGAAGTTTCATCTGATGCTAATGCATAAATTTCAGCCCTGGATGACTTTCCCTTGTAATTTAGAGAGAAGAGTGTCCTTTGAAAATGGTTTTGATTGTTTTTGTTAGCCGTGTCATCCTGGCGTCCCTCCCCAAAGTAAATGGAAAGGACAGAGGTTTGTGGGTGAATGTGGGTTTGGCTCCCTTGGGTTTTGCTCGGTTTTTCTGGGCGGCTGCAGGTGCCAATGGGGGGGTCCCCAGCGCAGGTTGCATGGTGCAGGGCCACCACCCCCCAGGGACGAGACGGGGTCCGGCATGGCGCTAAGTGGAGGATGCTCGGAGAGGCTGGGGTTCGGCGCAGGGACCATGCTCAGCCTGGCAAAGGGGCCCAGGAGCTGCTGTGTGCCAGCAAAGGTGCCGGAGGGTAGGATTATGTGGTGTGGCTTCCTGGAAAGTGTGACACTACCCGTCTTAGGCACGGCTCAGCTGGGATGGTTACGTGGGGCTCAGCTGAACATTGTCCCTTTATTTTTCTCCCCAAACCAATTCCAGTGCTGGGCAATCTCCTGCTCCATTGCCCTGTGGAGAGCCCTGGCCGGAGAGCCGAGATGGGGCTGAGGTCATCCTCGGCCATGCCTGGGTTAATCCATGCTGTTCCCGTGAAGCTGGTGGCTCGAGTCCGTGCTTTCCTCAGTCCAACTGGGCTCAGTCCCTGCGTGGGGCTGTTGGACTGAAGCAGAGCTGCTCCTTTCACGCCCCCTTCCCCAAAGAAACCCCAGGGGTTTTCCAAAGAAATTGCAAAGGGAATTATTTATGGGAAAATAAAGGCGACGTGGCCACCATCAGACATGTCCAGATACCTAATCTCGGTTGTTCCTGCTGTTTGGCAGTTCAAGGATGAGCTGTGGGTTTGCAGTTAGGGTGCAGAATGGGAGCTGGGCTCACGCGCTTTGTTCGGGCAGAGCTGCGCAGCCTCTCCCGCAGCTCAGCCCCCTCCCGCGGCTCAGCCCACCGCCCCACCGCATCCCGCCCCCGTTAATTAACGTACCGAGAGCTTTGAGGCCCTTGGATGGAAGTTTATAAATTGACACTCTGGGCTATGAATTATGAATGGAGTCACATCCCTGATCGCTGCAGTGCTACGCTGACAGTCCTGGAGCCGCTGATCTCAGTGACAGCCCAAAGCTTTTAAAGATGTGAACGGCAAAACCTGGGAATAATTTGCTTTGCCAGCTACAAGCCTCTTGGCCTACAGATGGGGCTCATCGTATTCCCTCTCCTGCCTCCTCCTGCCTCCTTCTCCTCTTTTGTTTTCCAGTATTGCCTTCTGTCCTCACCCTCCTGGTTTGTCTTTGTGGATATTGTCCTTCTCAGCTGTGTTGACCATCCCATGGGAGCTGTGTCTTCCATGGCGTGTTCCTCCCCCAAGGTTGCTGGTGCCAACTGGGGACATCAGCCGCAGCACTGGTCCCAGCAGGGTCCCGCTGGTCCCCTGGCCGTCCCCACCTGGGCGCAGGTCCCCGTGCAATCCCCACAGCCAGCGCAGAGCTTCTCAAGCAGGGCTCAGCGGGGTTTTGGCAAATCTCTGCAGCTTCATCTCACTTTGGCCATAACTTTGTGCTCAAGACATTGTGTTTCGTGGCTCCCTCCCCACCATCGGTCTTTGGGGTATTTGTCCTTGAACCTCTCCACCACTGGTGGCCAAATCCTGCCCTAAGCAGGTGTATGAACCCCCAGATTTCAAGTGCTGTGCTTAGTCCTGTAAGCCCAGATGTTTCTGGGTTTTATTGCCTTCTGGCTTTGCCTGAATTCCCACATTCTTGCCTCCTGGTGCCCGATGGCCGGCAGCGGGGCTGCTGCCCGCACGGGCTGCGCTGCCTGCTCTGACCCACCGGCAGGAGTGGAGCAGCGTGAATGAAATTTAAAAAATGAGCTTTAGAATCTTGTCAGCTGTTACAAATGAAGGCAAGGCCCTGCGTGTTCCCCCCCTCCTCCAAATGCTGTGCACCCTGCAGTGCTTGGGTGGGAGGGCGAGAGCCCTTGGCAAGCCAGGAGGGATCAGCGCTGCTCCCAGGGGATGAGAGCATCCCGTGGGAAACCATCCCAGCCCGAGCGATGGATACGGGAAAGGGGCACTCGTCATTTCCAGTCCTTTCCAGTTGAGCCACTGTGAGCCAGGCAGCAAAAAATACAACTTCAAAGGCAAAGTCTTGGTGTCTGGATAAGGCATTCTGCCCCCGGGGCTGGGATGCAGGAGGGCTCCGGCAGGTCACGGTTGTGTCTTGTGTCTTTTGCACAGGGGATGCTGTAGCTGCGCAAGGTGAAGGACAGACTGACAGTCACGGGCAGAGCCACGGCAGTTATTTCTCTGCCTGAAGCAAGGGAGGCCGATGCTTTGGTGAGCTGAAGAGCACGGTCTGCAGGGAAAGAGACGTTTGTTGGATGCGAACATCCCCCGGCTGCGGTGAGGGGAGAGGAGCCGCTGCCACAGATCGAGCACACTTCTGGAGGGAAAAATACCGCTTTGGTTTGGTGTCTAATTAGATATTTACCAGGAAGGAAGGAAAGTTAAAAATAGGGTGACAGTGACTTCAAAGAGTGTTTTTGACTTCTAAGAATAACACCTTTGCTGGCGCTGATTTCAGGAATATCAGTTGGGTGCGAAAGACGGAGGAGACGTTGCAGCTCGGTCGGTAGCTAAGGGAGCAAACCTGGACCCCCTGACCCGGCCCCGCAGGAGCGGCTAAGGAGGGGCCATTTGCATTGCTGCGAGGGCCCGTGGAGAACTCGACTGCACCCGTGGGGACGCAGCGGAGGGGGTTTGGGGAAGAAGAAGCCGCCGGTACCCCGGCGCGGGTCGGAGGGGACGCGTGGCATCATGGGGACGCCCTCTTCGCGGGCGGTGCTGGTGCTCGCCGTGGCGCTGGCAGGGCTCTCGGCTCCCCGCGCGGCGTACGGGCAGCCCAACTTCATTGTCATCCTGGCGGATGATGTGGGCTGGGGGGATCTGGGGGCCAACTGGGCAGAGACGAAGGAGACCCCGCATTTGGATGAGTTGGCTGCCGAAGGGACAAGGTAACGGCTGCCCCCCCTCCCTGGGTCTCTCCAAGCATCCCTGGTTACTCTGTCCCACGGCAAAGGGGGATTTCCTCCGTGGGACTGGCAGGCAAAGGGATTTCATTGACGTGGTTTTGGAAGCATGGGGAGGGCGGCCAGAGCCCGGTACTTTGGGGTGCAAGTCCGTCCATTCCCGCTGGGACTGTGAGCTTCATCCCCTGCTCCAGACCCTCATCACTGGGGCAGAAGGGGATATGTGCAAGGGAGCAGGGATGGGGCAGCGTTAGACCACTCAGAGGCTTGCGAGCGAAGGGTCCTTTCATTTTCTAGGTTCGTGGATTTCCACTCGGCTGCGTCCACTTGCTCCCCATCCCGTGCCTCTCTGCTCACGGGGCGTCTCGGCGCACGCAATGGGGTGACCCACAACTTCGCCGTCACGTCGGTCGGCGGCCTCCCCCTGAATGAGACCACCCTGGCCGAGGTCCTGCGGGAGGCTGGGTACAGCACAGGGGCTATAGGTAACGCCTGACACACCGACGGGGGGGGTCCAGGGTGGGGAGGTGAGGGGGTCGGGGGGGGACAAAGACACCCGTGTCCGTCCCTTGCAGAGGAGGTGCTGCAGGTAGTTAGGTGAAACGCTGGCGATTAAAGTCTAAAGGATCACGTGGGAGAGGTTTTTCACATCCCCCTCGGCTTTTGCAACCCTGAGCTTAAAATCTTCATTTTCAACCATACGATATCGCCTGAAATTCAGGCCTGCTCCGGTTCTCCATTTAAGCTCTAATTGCTTCACCTCGCAAGGAACGTGCCAGGTTTTCCTTAGCAAACATGACTGCGCACAGCAGCTCTGCCGTCCTGCGTCCCACACCAGTGCAATACCAGTAGTGCCGGCTGGCAGCGCGGTACCAGCGCGATCGGTGCCGCTGGCCCCGTGGTTTTGGGCACCCTCCCGAAACTGTGGGTCCCCCAAGACTGCGCGAGCCCCAGCTGGTAGTGAGCCCTTTGCACCTGCAGCTCCCATTGCTTGTTTGTGCACGTTGCGCTGGCAGAAAAGCCCTTGGTTTCTCCTTTCCCCCACAGTTTTTGCAGTTCTCGGATGGGTGCAAGCACATGCCGGAGGTCAGAGGATGAAGCTGGTTGTTTGGGAGGGGTTAGAAAGTCATCTCCTCTGAACGCAAATGCATGAAAGAGCCTTTTAAGGCTGGAAGCGGTCGATTTGCACAGGCACGAGATACCTTATGCATTTTTTCTGAGTTTCTGCAAAAGAAAAAAAAAAACGTGTTCTTGAAACGCAGCCAGCACAAACAAGTAGCCTTTCTTCTTGCTAGATTAAAGCCCCCAGCACTGCAAGCACCTCGTGGGTGATGGCTGGCGGTGGCCATAGCTGCGTTAACCTCTGAAATGATGTTCTGTGGCTTCCACGCAGGCAAGTGGCACCTGGGACACCACGGCCCCCATCACCCCAGCTTCCGTGGTAAGGGCTGCGCCGGCAGGGACGAGCCGAGCATCCCGTGGTCGACTCACCCCCACCGACACCCTCGCTTGCCCCTTAGGTTTCGACTACTATTTCGGGATCCCCTACAGCCACGACATGGGCTGCACGGACACCCCCGGCTACAACCTGCCACCCTGCCCACCCTGCCCGCGGCACAGCGTGGCTGCCAGGTACGGGGACGCGTTGGGGGGGTTCGAGTGCCGGCGCTGGGAGGTGGGTATTTGCACGGGTGTCCCCAGCTCTGAAAGCTGCCCTTTGCTGCGGTTTTCTCCCCTTATGCTCTGCGCACCCGTTTTTTCCCCCCCCATACATCCTGCAGCAAGGTGCAGGTCAGGGAGGCAGGTCGGTCCTCAGAGCATCATCCCCTTTCTGCTCTCTTGCTTCGGCTGTGCCTTTCTGCAAAACCAGGAGAACAGCCAGGCTCTGTGCCTGTTCCAACACTGGTCCCCGCTCCAGTGATGAGTGTGGGGTGGCTTCTTCCCAGCAGGGTGGCGAGGAAGGACTGTTACACGGAGATCGCCCTTCCTCTCTTGGAGAACGTCACCATCATCCAACAGCCCGTCAACCTCAGCAGCCTGGCAGCGCGCTACGTGGAAGAAGCAGCGCGGTTCATCCAGCGGGCGAGGTGAGATGTCAGCCCCCCTCCACCATCCCCTTCGCCGGGAGAGCTCGTGGGTCACTGCAAGCATCTTCTGCATCATGTTGGTGTGATGCTGGGGGGGGGATCAGGTGTTGCCCCACGGTTCTTGGGGAGCAGATTTGGGGTCTCCGTGGCTCGGCTTCCCAGCCCGCTGGAGGAGGGAGAAGCCACCGAGGTTGTCACCGGTGTCCTGCAGGGCTCACCCTGGAAGCCTTTTGGTGCGTCTCCTCTAAACGGGTTGGGTGTATGTTTAAAACCACCATTTACAAGGAAGGTCAAAGCCTCTGAGCTGGGCTCTGCCTCCTTCCTGGGGGTAACAAGCAACAAGATCCTGGCTAGCAGGGATGGGAGGGAGGGAAACGCCGCTGTCCGTCTGTCCTCCATCCCTCTGTCTTTGCGGTGGCACGGGGAAAGGTGGCGGCGGGGTGGCTCTGCTGGGTGGTGGAGGTGCCTCTGTGGGTTGGGGGTGCAGGAGTGGGTGCTGAATGGGTCCCCACGGCAGATCTGGTGGCGGGACCAGAACAGCACCCAAAGGTGCTCAAACTCACCCCCGTATGTGAAGTTTGAGCCATTTTGGGGATAAAGTGCTCTGGGATCCCTGGGCTTCAGGGTCTGCCTTCCCCAGCCGCGCAGGGACACGAGGAGCCCGGGCATGCTCTTCCCCGAGGAGCAAAGCAGCTCATCTGAGATGACGACCCCAAAGCCCTGCTGACGGGTTGTGTAATTTTAATCCCTATTATCGGCGGATTATGAGCTGTGACTTTGCAAAATGCCTCCCTGCAGCGTGAGGAAGGGAAGCGCTGCCGGGCAGCCCTGTCCGAGCCCATCCCGCGCCTGCATCCAGGGATAACACAGACCCGGGGAAGGGGCCACGGTGGGGGGGTCCTGCGGGCGTGCTTGGGGAAAGGTTTGTGTAACGGGGGCAAACGAGGAGCTGGGCAGGGAGCAGCCTGTGGGGAAATGGCTCCTTATAAGCCTGGGTACCGTTTTGCTCGCACAATATCTATAGTTTATCCCCTTTGGGTACCAAGAATCGGCCGCAGTGTGGCCGGGACGCGTGGTCGGTACGTGTGCCTGTAATGGGGCTGGAGGGTACCCGGGCAGCTACCCTCCTTCTCCGGGCTCCGAGGATGCTGTTAGGCTGTGAAACCAAGCAGGTGAGCTCCAGGTTAATAAGAAAAACCTTTAAACTCCCAATAGTATTTTGGGGTTATCTGCGTTCATGGAGAACAGGATTAAGCAGGTGCCTGCCTTTTCTCTCCTTCTCTTTGATGGCTTATTCCAGTTTTCCTCTGCCTGACTCATTCATTACAGGGCAACAAAAGAACACCGGATTTGTCATCTCAGTGTTTTTTTAACCAGTCATGTCAAGGTTGAGCAATTCGTGGTGGTGAGACTGGGCTCTGTCCGGGACACTTAGAGCGCAGTGAACATGGGAGCAAAAGTCAGGGCTATTTGTCTTAAGTTATTGATTAAATGTTTGCTCAATTTTCGGGAGAATTCTGAAACGTCAATGCGAAAATCAGGTGGGGGTGTTCAGCTGAACGCCGTGGTCGTGAGTCCGTTTGGATGCTGAAGCCCACCGGGTGCTCCCAGGTGGGATGCGAGCCGGGAGAAGCAGCTTTCCCTGCTCCAGGGTCTCTGGCATCCCAAGGGAAAAGGTGCCGCGCAGCCTTTTGCAGCGGCGATTTGCAAGGGATGCATCAGCACCCCCTGACCCCCAGCGTTTTGCAGGGGCTGGGCAGGGTACCCGGGGGGGACACACACACGCAACCCTTCGTGGGGCTCCAGCGCCGCTTGGGGAAGGATGCGGCAGCTCCGGGTGGGATGGGATTTACTCATTTCCCATCCTCAGGTGGGTGACGGGTAAAGGAAGGAAATGCCGAAACGCACGTCGGAGGGGCCCCAGAAGTTTTCTGGAGGCAGCGATGGGGTGGCCGGAGCCGGGCGCGTGCGCGGGCTGGGACACGTCCCGGGGATCCGGTCCCTCCCCGCCGCTCACCATCCCACCCTTCCCCTCGGAGGTCCCTGAGGAAGAGCAGGCCTCGTTGGAGGAGATAAATATAGCTGTAAACAAGAAAACAGGACGTGTCCTCTGATGATTTAAAAGCAAACAGGCAGCGGGACAGCGCGCGGCGAGCGAACGTGCCGCGTTCCCTGTCCGGGGCTGCTCGGCAGCGCCGAGGCCGCGCTCGGGGTCGGCGTGGGCGTCTTTCTGCTGCTCGTCCGCTGCTAAAAATCACCGCCGGGGCTCAAGCGCTTGCTGGGGAGGGGGAGAAAGGGCCAAAATGGGCCCCATGAGAGAGGGGAGGGAGGCGGGTGGGTGCCAGGGGTGCGCCGACGTGGGGCGTTTGGCTGGCGGCTGGCACGTGGGACACCGGGAGATGGAGGAAGCGCATCCCAAATGGGAGGACAGTGGACAACGGGGAGAGGTTTAAGCCAGGAGCAGGGGAGAAGTGGGTCACGCTGCACCAAGCGTCTCCCTTGCAAGGGGAACGGATGCTCGGAGGGTTTGCAGCCGGCTGATGCACGCAGGGCAGCTTTTTCCCCCCCCGGGAGCTGCAGCGGAGGCAGGGGTGGCTGCAGGGCTCCCGGGAGAAAGGGCCACCGGTCTGTGTCCCCAGGCTTGGCAGTGCCACCACCTCGGTGACCTGCTGCCGCCACTTTCCCCTTCGTCGACCCGGCTAAACGTGCTCCCCCTCTTCCTTGCACAGCGGCAGCGGACGCCCCTTTTTCCTCTACCTGGCGCTGGCCCATATGCACGTCCCGCTGGGGGTACCCCCGCTGCCGCCCCCCGCCTCGGGCAGGGGCATCTACGGAGCCTCCCTGAGCGAGATGGATGCTTTGGTGGGACGGATAAAGCAGGTCGCTGACAGCCACGGAAAAGGCAACACGCTCCTGTGGTTCGCAGGTACGGCAGGAAAAGCGGCTGCGGTGGCTGGGGGTGATGCC